GAAACCCTGCTTATTTGGTCCCTTCGCGCATACCTGTCGCAAAGGACGGTGAAACTTCACGTGGTGTATAAAGAAGTTAGAGTTACTTGACCTGTGCCCAGCATATGCTGTGGTTTACTGGGTTGCCGAAGATCTCATAAAGGACGATGGCGAATTCACTTCTTGGCCACTGGCTGGCGTACGTCAGAGGAGCTAGAGAGTTCGGGGCGCGGGTCTGTCTCGGGATGAGAACGGCCAGCTGGAAGGGAACGATGGTGACGCGGAGCCTGTTAGAGAGTTTTGCTGGGTGATGCAGTGCAGAGAGTGTCGAAAGTTCGCTTTGTGCGCGGCGGCGGATACTCATCAGAAGCTGATGGTTCTGCCCAGCTCGTGGTCTCATCGATTCCAGGCTCGTGAGTTGACATCCATCCCTGCCTCCATGCCTCTTCCCGTCAAATTAAAACTCTATGAGGAGGAAGAAACTCTGCGAGCGTCTCGGGCTTCTGCGTTGCTGTGGAATTCAGAAGGCTCTTGTGGCGCCTCCATTGCTGCAGGAAGGAACAGCTGCTCTTGGCCTCAGAAGATTGCGCTGCTGTTGGAGAGGGTTCTCGAGCGCGCAAGAAGGAGTGCGTGGATGTGGCAGAGGAAGCCGCCTCCCTTGTGTCCGTTTCCGCCATAAACCCCTCCCACTGTGGCTCTCTGTGGCGATCTCAGCGGGGCGGGCATACATCCCGTCCATGGATCCGCGGAGTCCTGTCCGATACTTGCTGCACGTCTGTTCTAGGCGCTGAAGCCTCTCATGTGCCAGCCTCTCGTTGAGCTTGCCTCCCTCTCCTCTGTCCTCTCTTGCTGTCGTCCGTCCTGGCCAGCTCTCGACTAAAGGCGCCAGCTGCTGTCTCTCTGGGTGCAGGGGGGTGAAGACGCGACAGCAGAGTCTGGAGCGTCGCGGGTTTAAAACAAGCGCTCATCTCCAATGCAGCAGGCACCTGCGGGGGCTGAATGCTGATTCTCAGGATTGCTGGACCTGTCACGCGGTCAGTCTGCATTCCAGAAAGGACGCCACCACTTGGAAGGTGTCCGCTGGTAGCCTCCCGGCTGGTGCTTCGATGCGTCCACCACTCTTGCGCCGCTGAGCGGCGGCGTTCGTCAACTGAGCGTGTCATTGATCGCCAGGGCTCCGCTAGACAAAGCAGCCTCTGTCCTCAGTTGCTCAGTCATTCATGGCAAACACAGACCTCAAAATTATAAACTCTGTCTGCTGCTGGAGGTACAGGGCCCAGAGTATAGGGCCCCACGCGCAGGGATTTTATTACTGCCAGTCGCCTCCTAAGGCATTGTGCCTTTTTACTTTGCCTTTGCTCCAAAAAAATCCTGGAATTTGTTGTCCCTTCCTACAGGGCAGAAAAGAACGGATTTAGACTGACCTCACTTGGCACTCACAATACAACGATAGAGTATAAACGGAGATTTGGCTGATAACAGTGTTCTGCCATTGATGTGGTGGTGAGGCTGTACTTCAACACTTGACTCAAAGGCCTAAAAGATATACACAGTGTGTTTCTCGTCGATATGAGATCCTTTTAGAAAACGTAACGTCTATTTGTTGTGGTGCTAATTGCATGGATAGCTGGCTCAAGGATAGGAAGCCGTTTTTCCTTTGGCATTAAGCAGCAAATGTACTGTACTGCTGGGGGGTCTGAAAACAGCCCTGTAAATTCCCTTCCACGCGAATTCACTATGACCTTCAGAGACATGTTTGTGCAATAAAACGTCCACAGCTGGGTTGCCCTAGGCCACAGTAAAGACGGAGCGCGGCTCACGTGGATTATTCTGGGAAAGGCGCGGAGGACGCAAACTTAACCACACAAACAACAGGATACACACACGAGGACACACGACACAGTCAGATTTTTTGATTGTCTGTTTATAAAAAGCTAGGTATGTTGACATTGTTTTTACGAAAAATCTGCAGGTTGGATTTAAGCCGGTTAGCTCAGCTCCGGTAGAGCTGGCGGACCCAAAGCTTTATACTGAGTTGCTGCAGCGCGTGCCCGGGGTTCGAATGGCCGACTGTGTCCCGTTGCTTGGTGTCATCCCCCCCTCTCTCTCCACCCACCTTTCCTGTCTCTCTACAGCTGCCAAAAAATAACTTAAAAAAAAAAAAAAGACAAAATGTGTTCAGGTTATTAAGAGGTTAAACAAATTTGTTTCTCTAGTCAAAAAGTCTGGTTAGGCCCAGTCAACTGTACCATTACATTGAAAACAAATCTTGTAGTAATACTATAGTAGAGAGCAAGTGGAAAGCGTATTAAAATATCCTTACGTAGAAGTGCTGCTAACTTGAGATTTCAGAGGTAAAATTAGAAAATGTATTGCTGATGTAAGTACAATGTGACATTTAAGTTAATAAATTCAATTCAATTACACTACTAAATTAAAATTCATTAGAATTACCACAATTACCAATAAAAAGTGTATGAAGCATAAAACAAGTTAGTTAGGTAGTTAGTGGTGCTTTCTGTGAAAATATTTATTTATAAATAAGATCAGCCAAGGCCATGGGTAAGTGCTGTGACATATTTGTATCTGTCATCATGACTTTCCTAGGCTTGTTACTCTCACTCATCACTCACAGTAAACTGGCTGTAGTGCATTGCCTGTGGAGGGCCTTCGTAACCGAACTAAACTGGATCTAAAATGTAACATAATGCAAAACATCAAAAACAACATCACAGTAATAAAATGATTTCTTTCTTCCAACCTGAGGCGAGAGCCCTTTTGTAGCTTTCCTATTGCATTCTGTTGTACTGTGCTTTTTAAACACAACATTTTAGAGGCAACAAGGTAACGTCATGGGTATGTTCTGGTTAAATTTACTGCAGCTGCCAGGCAGCCGTCACCTTGCTCAGAATATCCAGTAGTTCATTAATATCTTCTGACCTGGCTGCCATCCATCTCATACGCATCTACAGATGAGCTACACACACCACTGCTGTACCTCCCGGCTAACAGTATCAAATAAAACTGGGGCAGAAATGAAAGGAAGTTTAAAAATGTAATTCAACACTTTCTACTAATCCAACAGCAACTGAGGCCTCTTCTTGCTGCACGTCTTTTACAGCTACGCATTAAAATAACTCTGACTTTTTATTTTATATGTCACTCTATCTCTACCCAAATTAAATATTCTGTTCAGGGTAGAAAAAAGATGGTAACTATCCCTGAGTCAAGACTTTTTTGCAACAATAATCTCATGTCAAGCCATCAGGGTGATTTCAGTTCATTCTTGCATGTGACAGGTTTATTTTTGTCCAGTGACGGGCCTCCAACTCTAAAACCTGAAACCAAAGAGGCCTCGTTTTAAGAGGAACTGTGGTTCAAAATGAAGACTGAATAGCAGCAAATCTGTCACTTCTGAGAGCAGAAAAGATTTGACTAAATATTTATAAATGTCAGTAACTGTCAGGAGAAAGAAAATCAAATTATGTCAGTCAATACCTCCAGTAAGTGAATGTGTATTTTTTTGGGGAGATTAACACAGGGAATTGTGTCGTATCTCTTCATTTATTTATCTGCATGAAAATGCCCACTCATGAAACTAAACTTATTGAAAATGAGAACACATGCATGTGGTCGAGCAATACTTAATATTATTTTATTATTATTTTTTTAAATTATAAGAATATTGTCTTACCTTCCAGTTTTATAATCCATCATTTGGGCCTTATTAAACTCCTCAAAAAGCTCTGTCTCCTCAAAAAGGCCTTGCTGATCTGATTCTGTCCTGTCACAGTAATACAAGCCCTCTCTGGCTCCTTCTTTTGACAACAATCCAAAGCAAAAAACTATATGTAGTCCACAGTCAGGTCTTTGAGCATCTGACCAGAGGCAGGCAGCGGGACTCAGGTCTGGAGACCAGACAGAAATAGAGGAGTTGTCCCAGAGAGAGTGTCCACCATGGGGGACAGAATGAGGGCTTGAGCTTGCATGTGGATCTGTGAGATCCTTTGGTGTCGAGTGTCAGACAGATGAAACAAACAGCCTGTGAACTATTTATAAATCTGGACAGCTAACTGTTGGCCGTTAGCAGCTACAGACGGTGACAAATTAAAGGAAAAACCAAAGTAAAATGTCTTAGTAAGGTGTTGGGCCACAATTGACATCATTTTCATATTCATCAAACCATTTATTATCCCCTATGGGTCGGGGCATTGTCATCCTGGAGGAGACCACTCTCATCACGAGAGAAATTGTTCATTATAGACTAAAGATGATCACTCAAAACAACTTTGTATTGATTTGCGGTAAGCCTTCCCTCTGAGGGGACAAGTGGATCCAGACTGTGCCAGCAATATGCCCCCTACAGCATAACAGAGCCACCAGATCCCCTCACTGTAGGGGTCAAGCATTCAGGCCTGTACCGTTATCTTGGTGTACACCACACATGCACTCTCCAACTTGTCGAGAATATGGTGACAGATGACTCATCTGATCACTTTTTCCCACGTCTTCCTCAGACCCAATGGTTTTTGCAATTCTCAAATGTGCATTCATGTTTGTAATGAGGGGTTTATGCACTGCAGGCTGACTTTAATATCCCTCTCTATGTAATTGTCGACAGACAGACTGACACAGTCTGATCGCTTCCTGCACTGACATTCTTAGTCACCTGAGGAAGAGTTGCTGTTTTTCCCTACACAAAGCAGCACGGTCATCAAATGTGCGCTGTCGACCTCACTTTGATCTTTTCCTTTTGCCATATTAAAATAATCAACAGGGCCTGCTCAGCATTTTTATACATGCCACACAGCATTATTGGATAATTGGAGAACTGTAGCATGCAGTGCGCCTCTGTGGAAGCATCTGCATTCATTAGGTTTCTCCACTCATTTACAGTATTCAGGTCTTCCTTTTAATTTGCCGTCACAAACTTGGAAAGTGTTACATCCGGCTGAGGAGGATGTGGGGTCTGAACAAGGAGAAAAAACGAATTTCCTGAAAATGTTTTATTATTGTGGGTGGGAGGAGGTGGAGGACTCTGGTGTGGGTGCTCCTCTGGGAGACATAAATAACTCAATTGGTTCACAGTAGAGAGCCACCCTCTTCGTTGAACAGAACTGACAAGCACTATATGGAGTGTCAACAAGTGGCTTTTAGTCACCACCCATCTGCTATCATCACCATAGACTTGAATAGAGCTTTTTATTGACTATAAGACCATATGGTCCATGTTCGAGCATATTTGTCACATTTTCTCATTCATTTCCTTTCACAGACGTTATTAATTCAATGCCACATATCCGAAAGGTTGGTTTCAACATGAATTTTACACTGACTTATTACAGTACTAGAAGACTAATCTCCCTGGCTACAGGCTCACCCACCCTCCAGCAGAAAAGGCCACAAGGCAGAGGAAGGGGAGGAACTGTACCTCCCCCTTTCACCCCTCCTACAGCCCGCTGCTATAATAGGAGATTGCTGTAGCAGATAGTTTCCTGGGATTCTTGGCGGGTGCAGGGCCGGCCTGGCGGGATGATGGACACACACACATGGGCCTTAATGGAGACGCACTCCTCCACATATGCCCACACACACACACACACACACACACACACAGATGGTTTTGCATACAGCTCGCTAAACTATGGGAAAGGCTGAGGTAATCCCTTTTTAACTAATCTCTTTCCTCCCCTCTAAACAACCTCCACCCACATGCCCTTCTCATCCACCATTTTTTCTCTCCACTCTGTACTCTTGTCAATCAGTAACATCCATCTCTAGATTTCTTCCATGTTGATAAGATAATTATTTTCACAGATCTTGAAACATCCTCATTTAGAATTTGCAACTTGCTGCTTTATCATCTTGTGTTTCTACTTGCTTGTGGGCCTTTAATACTCAGCACTTGTTAAAAATTGTATTTGATTAATGAAATTTATTTTATAAAAATCTCCCTCAGCAAAAATTACTCAACATGTGTTCCTCCAAAATGCAAAATTTTCCCACTGAAGTTTGTAACCTACTGTGGGGAGTCTGCACAAGTTTCCTGCTCACTAAGTCCCTCTAGTGGACAAACTGAGAACAGACGTCTAAAATCAATTTGTACTGAAATGTTTTTTTTGTATACATATCATATATGATTTTTTGCACAGTACGACTCCCGAACTTTGCTTCAACATAGTTGCATTATGAAGCTACTGAGGACTGTAAGCATTGATCTCAAACACTGAGGATGCTCTTCCCAGTGCTGAGTAAGGAGGAGCGGAGCTGTGGTTATGTGGCAGACAGCAGACAGGCACATTACTTGCCGCATTAAAATATGCTTTGTTTGTATTATCTCAATTCAGAAATTAGCTTAATTGATTCTAATTGATTGAGTTATTGATTAGCTCTGTTGCAGAGATGATACTGGGCGTTTTGGCCCTTAAGTGGACCGGCCCTGAATACGGCCCTTATGTCTGACTTTGGAAGCTGGGTCCTTGAATAGTAAAATTTAGGTGTTGCTCCCAATGTCAAGCAAGAAGAATTGTATGTATGTGGCAGTCTTTCTTGAGCATACTGTCTCTTTCTATGTGCTTTATATTGTCTGTGGATGGGTGCATGTGCACAACGTCTCCCTGTTTCAGGACATATTTCCCCCACATCCCTGCAAAATATTTCATTACTGCAACAAAAGAAGCCCATTAACTGCACTGTAAGAACAGAGTTCAACTGCTGTCCCCCATATTCACCATGTTTGTCTGCTTTTCTGGCCGCTCTCCAGCTAATTTGATATAACAATGCTCCACAAAACCGCCTCAGGACTTTTTTTTAGGTGACAGAAAATTATCAATGATGCCACATGCACAGCTGAATGTCAACACCAACTTGACTTGTTTATCAAATATTAAAGCAGTGAATTATGGGCACCATGCAGAACTTAATGATGATCGGAGTCATTATAACTTCAGCATCCTTTGTTTTGGCTAATGATTAAATTCCACAACTACTGTATTCAATTTTGGATGGATTGAATGTGTTTCTCACGTCTTTTGTATGAGTTGGCTGCTTTCCGTCGTCCATGTTGGTACATTTTTGGAAAAGGAGCTGATTTGTATAAGGATATTGTGTTATCATTAGCTGCCCTGTCAGGGGGCTTAACATCTTTGGTCTGGAGCTCTCTCGTACACTTCATTATATTAGTACATGATGTTTTTGGTAATACTATTTGGGGCATGAATAGATACAGTACCTGCAGTATTATAATACCAAATATATAAAAAATAGGCCATAATAGGTTCTGATTTTGAAACTTTATTTTGACTCCATTTTGATTTTTTGTCTCAAAAAGTCTCCCATTTATTTTTATGGATGTTATTTTTTTTGTTGGAGACATATGGTGTTCTAATAAAATAAAAATCCCATCAAATCTTAAAAAGTGTTAATGTCACAAGAGGGTGGTTCGTACTCAGTGAAAGCGTCGCTTTATTGTCATATTTGTAGGGCATTTACAACATGCACACATAATGGTGTAGAAAAGAGAATGTGAGTACTCTGTACACTATGTGTACAACCTGGCACGACTTCTGACATTATCTGCCTCTTCTGTGTCACCAGGGTGTCGCCTCATCAATTATTGAACCAGTACTTCGTGGTAATACATAATTTCTTATCAATTATTCATGATAATGTGTGTGTAGTTTACTTAATTGTGTTATTGACTATCAAAAGTAATTTCCTGAAAATCCTCAAGGACGCAAATTGAATCAGCCCAACTACTGGTTGTGTGCTCCACGGTTAAGTATTCTCAATCTGATCAGCTGATCCTTTATTCAAGAGTCACTCTAGTAAGGAGAGATATTTAGGAAGAATAAATCAACAAATGTATTGCCTGTGATAAACTACTCTGTTAGGAGCCCTGAGGTGATGAGAGACGATAATTTAAAAAATGTAAATTCAACATTAATAAATAGCATATATCATGTTTAATAGGGTTTATTAAAAAATGCTTAGAGAGAGGAAGAGAAAGAGGAAGAGGGTGAGCGTTCCTAAAAGTAAATAAATAATAAGAGTCACGATTGCTCTCCTCTCCCGGCTTTAAGGGAAACTGATAAATAATGTATCAGAACAGATGGCTGGAGCGAGAGGCAACAGGAGAGGAACATGAGCGACTACATCTTTAATTGTTTTAAAGAACATGTCACAACAGGACTGGTGTGTTCCCTGTCTGCTGACGCTACAGATGTGCTAACAGAGTGGAAGGGACAACCACCGCTCTGTCACTGGGTCTGCTTCAGCCTACCTGGGGTTCACACATGAACACACTGTATTCTGGCACATGTACACATTTACACTGAAAATGGCTGATTAATATTAAAGTGCACTTTCACTTTAAAAAAATCAAAAGAATGAGAGCTTGTTTGAGCCCATTACTGACCTGATGGCATGGACATTATATTGCCAAAATCCTCACTGACCTGCCTTCAGTTTTACACTTATAGTTTACATGCATTAACATTCACAATGTAAGCATCTGTACTCTTTATGAAAATGAGAGGAAATGTATCAGGATTTCTTAAATTCACATTATCAAATAGGTCTTTGTTGCACGCATGTTGCATCTATGTTAGTCCATCAAATAGAGTCCACGAGTGCACAAAGACACATATAGATCCAAAACCACACTTGTGCTTCTATTGGGATAACAAGGCCCAAAATATTGAGCATTTCTCACAAACAATAATAATTTACTGTCAAATAAATATTTTAATGTTTGCATCCATACATTGTGATATGAGTAAAGTCTTTCCCAGGCTGTTTCTGGAGTCAGTCAGTAGTTGTGCTTAGTTGCTCATAGGACCAGAGTAGAGTAGAGTAGTAATAACAGGCACGATCACACAGATTTAGAGTATCAGTACATCCACGTTTATGTCCAGCACCTCACTTTTTGTCCAGTGGTTCCTTGGAGCAGTGAGGGTGTTTGTCAGGACTGCTCCCCAGGATAGGGACCTTGTTGGCCGGGCTGGGACTGGAGCTGTCTCCCCCTCTTCCCACAGTTCCGGGCACCTCGATGGCAGGGCCCACCGTGGGCCTCGCCACCCCGGCCGTGCTGACACCGACTCCAGACAGGACTCCCACGCCGGGCCCGGTCGCCGCGCTGAGCAGGTTGGCAGACTGCAGCACAGCCTCCGAGTGCTCACGGGCCTTCATGCGCAGGGCAGCCACGCTGGCTGTGCGGTTGCCCTGACAACCGTAGGGCGGCAGGAAGGACAAGCCCATGGGGTCAGAGACACAGCAGGAGCACAAACCATTACCTGAAATATATAGCAAAAGTGGGACTCGTGGTGAGACTACTGAAAACCAGATTTTCATCGTCACATCATCTTTATCGCCATCTCTATTTGTCAGTTCATGAGAATCATATTTACCTTTAAGTGTGGCGACCTGTGAGAGGGCCTGGGCGTAGGTGGCAGAGTTGAGGAGGGTGCCTGGTATACAAGATGGGAAGAACGGACCACTTGGACCCACAGTCCTGTTGATACTGGAGAACACAGACATACTATATCCAATCATCTAGTGAAAACTTACTGACAAATTATTCTATTAATACACTCACATTTCGAGAAATATCTACTATTTTCTTTTTTCAATCTACACTGTGCAGTGCTGGTCAGAGTTTATTAAGGATAGAGTGTCATCTACAGAAATGATCTAGATGGCTGTCTAGGCAGTTTGTAGTGGCAGTTATTGACGGAAAAGATATTGCCTCTTATTTATCTCCATCACCCAGACCCACCCAGCAGCAAATCTAGACCAGAAACCTTTGTGTCACACATTTCTCCTATCAATAGGAAACAATTTCACAACATTAACAGCTACAACAATCATCTGTCTGTTCTCACCTCTGCTGCATCTCCAGTGGTTCTTTCTGTTTTCTGCTGTGGTCCACTGGGGACTGAGAGTTGATGCTGCGAGATGGAGGAGTGCCCTCACTCATCTGCTCTTTCCCTCCTTCAGGGTCTGTGCTCCCTCGCTCCGTCTTCCTCCACTTTGCTCTGCGGTTCTGAAACCAAACCTGCATTAAAAAAAAGGGAAGACAAAAAGCAAAAACGATTAAATTAAATGACTAATTGAAACTGGAGTATCTGCATTTCCTGACACATTAGCAGCTTGCATCCATTTCTTTTATTTATTGAATGCAGCTCTATATCCATGCCCATTTTTTAAAATTCCTCTTGCATATTCTTTTGGCAATTCACAGACAAACATATGCAAACTTAGGTTTATCTGTTTGTTCTATTTGCATTGTTTTGTGTTGCATGTCAAGAGCTGTTTGACTGTGTCACATCAGCGCTCTAATGTCACCCAATCCCCGATTTATCCCCAAAAAATACCATCCACACAGCTGAGAACATATAGCTAAGTTCTGGTGTCTTAATCGAATGAAGGTCACTGCCTATAACAACATTTAATTGAGCAATTTTTCATTATCATATTTTAATGACTTCCCACTGACAGTTGTGCTGCCCGAGAGAGAGGCAGCTATGATGAAGTCGTTTATTTCCCTATTTAGTGATTGTTTGACAACATCAGATTCGATTAGGACTCCGTTCTAGCAGGCATTAATCATGATGTGTGAATGGAGGTTAGAGTCGGTGTGCATGTGCTCTGCATCCCTTCTATTGTACTGGAGGTATAAATGATGTCAACAGCCAAACAAAACACATGCATTCATTCGGCATAAAGAAAGGACAACATTTTGGTGGCAGGACAACAATACAACCAATGGACTTATCTCACCCCTGCACCTTCCAGCTAGATGTCGTGCCCCCCCACACACACACCCCTCTCTGAATGGGCTATAATTGCTCCATTAATCTCAATTTGCTGCGTGCTCTTAATGCGGGGGAGGCCCATTGACACTTTACAAAAAGGGGGGCAACAACACTACAACAGAAAGGAAATTTATTTTCTAATAATAATGTAAGTTTAATATCCCTGCATACTGCGGTGGATTCATGTTCAGATTTAATAATAGGAATGTGGTAATCGGATTAGGAGGGGAATAATTTGTTTACAATCCCTAATTTACAGCGCTGGATTCCATTATCAACCTCGCCATTGGGTTTAAGCGATAGTAAGATGACCCTGGGGAACAAAAGGCAAACTATTATATTTCCCACAATTAGATCTGCGCGCACAACAAAACCCAAAAGCAAATCTGGAATGCAGGAAATTACATACAGGACACATAACTTAATTACATCTGGCCAAGTTTATAACGGCGCATATGTGCAGGGCAGGAGCGGAATATAAATTGCCAAATTTAAGGTGCGTGTGTGTTTTTTTTTTTTTTGTGTTTTTAAGTGTGTGTGTGAGACACACACACTTAAAAACACACACGCACACAGAGAGAGGGAGAGTTTTGTAGGCTGCAGGCTTTGCCCTCTTTTAAAACACATCGTTTTCTGTCTGCGTTACGGGAAAGAGATCTGCATGGATGATGTATTCCTACCTTTGAGACGCGTACAAATTAGTGAGGAACATTATCGCTGGTTAATTATGAATGACCGATTAATCAAGCTAATCTAATATTCACCATTATGTTGATGTTATTAAAGTGCATCGCCGGAATGACAGAGTGGCTTAATTTACCCTCTCTCGCATGGTCAAACGTGCCCAGGACACATTAAGCTGCTGCAGCTTACCTGCACCCTGGCCTCGGTCAGGTTGATCTTCATGGCCAGCTCCTCCCGGGTGAACACGTCCGGGTAGTGAGTCTGGGCGAAGACAGCCTCCAGAGCCTCCAACTGCATGGACACAAAACACCATTATACTTTAAATAACTTTATTTTCTATTCATTGATTTGTTTGTACTTTTCTTTTTTTCTTTCTTTCTTTCTTTCTTTCTTTCTTTCTTTCTTTCTTTCTTTCTAATCCTTAATTCTCATTATCCTCATCAGGTCTATGCTGTTTAAAAATATCAAAGTCTTAAACTCGCTTGTACATTTGATGGGTTTAACAGAATGTTAGATAACAAAAGTAAAGTAGTCTAAAATAGACGGAAATATTGGTCTAATATCAAATTGTCTGCATGCCAATTTAGTTATGCCCACGCATGATCTTCAAAAGTACTAACATTAATTTATAAAGGTTTGCTAATGTTGTATTTTTATTTTCATGTGTCTGGAGCAATTATATTATTTCTTTTAAGTTGTTAAAGTGTAAAACCAATTTTAAAGGCCTTATGGTAGTTACCTGCACAATAGTCCTTCATTATAAAAACTTCGCCAATTGTTTTATTCTTTTCCTATATAAACATCATACCTGTTTGGCTTTAAGTTAAGTTTCAGACATTTCTTGCTCGCTACTTCTCTCCTGGAAAATAATTACCTGTTGCAAAGTAAATGTTGTTCTGTTTCTGCGCTGTTTTCTGCGTAGAAATCCATCATCAAAATCAGCCGGGGCGTGGTTGCCAAAACTGCTTGAATTCACTGAAAAAAAAAGTTTATTAGAGAGAAATCAGTCACTCAATTAAATGAATTCACAAAGTTTCATTTAAATTAAGTCAGTAAATGTGTGTGAGAGAGAAAAATATATAAATATTGGCCGGAGCAGACAAGATTAGAGCATTTATTTTCTGGCACATTTTGTATTTCCATTAGTTGCATGAAACATTGATGTCGGGTGTCTGAGGGGAACCATGACGGACTAAGAGCCATGACACCCAACATCTGTGCCCGGGACAAAACGCCCCCTCTGCCCCGGGGCCAAACCACCAGCGCTTCTCACCAAAACAGCCAGCAGATTGACACAGCAGAGGGAATATCAGACTTAACCCTTTATACACACGTTTTCAATTTGTGGGAAAGAGAAAATATCCGTTTATTTAGACTGATAGAATTATGGAGGTGCTTTAAGCGTCCAACCTATTTTACAATGTTAATTTTTAAAGATGGGTAAATATCTGTTTTCATATAATGGCGATCTCTAACTGCGGATGAGAGCATGGACATCTTTTAATTTATCACCGCATAAAAAATAGGATTGGCCTTTATAGGCCTTTGTCACTTTTATAATAACTTGAAGATGATCATAAAATAAATGGTCAGGCCTTTCTTTTGTCGCTCCGCCAACAACAAAACACACATCGTGTGCGCGAAGGTGCGCAGCAAAACTTTTCCGACTCTCCTTTAAGAGAGAGAGATTTAAGAATAACTTGGAGCTAAAAAAAAATGAAACCGACTCAAAATGATATCGTATAAAATGCAGAAGAGGAAACTTACATGTGTTGGAGCGACAGCACTCTCCGTCTAGCTGAGGCGGACAGTGAAAGTAGAACATCCTGGCGCGTCTCTGAGCTGCGAACTGAACCTGGAACAGAGACAAAAGTTTCAGCCCGACGCCTCGGATCGGCTACAACTGCATCTGAGATTCAGATCTGTGGTGGGGGAGGAATTTGAACACATTAAATCGTCCTAAGAAGAGGCGGCACCGGGCGGAACTTGGGAAGATTCAAAGTTGATGCGAGAGCGCATCCTACCTGCAGTGGGGATGCTGATGTGAGTGACTTCCCGCTCTGGAGAGAGGATGCTGCTGCACTTCCTCTGACTCTCTGACTCTCTGTCTGGGAGTGTCCAGATCTCTCTCTCTCTCTCTCTCCTCTCTCTCTCTCCTCTCTTCTCCCTCCTCGCCCCCTCCCCATACACAACACACATACGCCTACCTCTCACCAATGCTCTCACCCTGTCTCTCCTCTGGGAGTGTGCCCAGATGTCTCCTATACGCACGTTACTACATGTCTAACAGAGTGTTAAGGCTTTCAGCTAGTGTCCGCAAATCCTCCACGCTAATTGGTCCTAAATCGGATTATCAACGCTTTGTCCTCTCTTCAACCCAACCCCTGTGTGTGGTGTGTGTGGTGTGTGTGTGTGTCGTGTGTGTGTGTGTGTGTGTATGTACTGTATTGTCAGAGAAAGACAGAAAAGAGAGAGAGAAGAGAAAGACAGAAAGAGGGAGATACTACCCAGGGTGGCAAACCGCAGCTCTGCTTGAAAAATGGTGGCCAAAAAAATTGAAAAAAAGAAAAAAAACATCACAAGTGATTGTTATTCGCAGAGTCCCAAGCATATGTGCCCAGACCATTAAAAAGCATGCGACCACATACCCCCCGCTTGCACTTTTTATTTGGTCTTTCATTTAAAAAAAGGTAAGGTGACTGCTTTGGGGGGTTTAGATCTCTGACTGTCCCGGTGGTTTTAATTGCTCGTCAGGAGTGTGTTAGGGGGTCCCCACTTTACACAGGGGTTGCGCATCGTAGAACAAGCTCCACAAGGCCAAATTTTTCGATTTTGTTCCACAGCAAGGGGTCCTGGGATTCATTTCGCTTCCTCAGAATAAGATGATCTGCTGCGGGACGCCTTTCCCAATTAGTTTTAAAGCGCAATCCTGGGGGACGTGGTCAAAGAGCGGCAGACGGTCGCAGCCATGCGTCCTCTGAGTGGAGTGCCCAAATGAAGGCTTCGAGAAGGACAGCTGAAATTTTAGAGAGGAGGTGCGGGATTGGACTAGAACCAACCATAAAGTTCGCAGAAAAATCCCTTTCTAACTTGGCCGCGTAATTGGTTCTGTAATATCTTACAGGCCGGATAATGCCAAGTTACAGGAACCCGGCCGCTAATTACGGGTTTCCCTGGCGTGAAGCCGTTTATGTTATTAAAAGGGGGGATATAATGATATTTTTAGTTGTATTAAATTGCGCGTAATTAGATTTATGCACCAAACTGAAAATAAGTTGTTATTATGACCTCGGGCCCGAAGGTGACGTGGAGAAAATTGAAATGCCAAATAACGGTTTGAATAACTTTATCCCAATATTTTGGTCCCCTAAGACAGACTCGTGACAAGAGTGCAGGGCCGCAGTTGTGTGTCTCTGCCTTCCTGTCGCCGCCTCTCCTCTCCCTCCTCTGATGGTTGACTTAAATGACTAAAATCGAAATTAATAAACTCATCTCCGTTGGTTAGAAAACCACATTTATTAAAGTAAACCTTTAACAAAGGTTCACGATTTGGGTCCCACCGCTTTACATGATATCAAGAAATACAAATTTCCAAGGCACCTTCGGTCCAGCCGCACAATCAAACACTCTGGTCAACTTCTTAATTCTTGTTCAGGACAGTGGGGGAAAAAAGCCCCCCCAAAAAAATAACTAAAATATAACTATATATAAATGTAATATTTCAACCCTTTATTGTCGTGAATCATAGAGAATGTAACCTGTATTGCTAGCTGACCTGTCAATCATCTTCCGTTTCCTTTAACCCTGATCCTGTTGCCA